TTACAATTTTCATTTGATAAATGGCCACTAGATTTAGCATTTTTAAAATCTTTTATTGACGAATCTTTTGAAATTATTGAAAAGGCGATGAAAGGTACATTTGCAATTACTATTACTATAATTATTACAACTATCATTTTCATTATAATCATTATTATTATTAATTAGTAATTAATATAAATATAAATAAATCGTAGGTGTTCCTGATAAACAAAAAATTGAATATAAGGTGATCATAAGATCGAAGTTATCAATGTTTCCTTCATTACATGGAACTCTAAAAGATATAGAACAAAGTTATAAAACCAACTTTAGTGAAATTAATAAGGTTAAATTATATTATTATGATACGGAATGGATCAAATCTGATTCTGTGGACATTCTTTTGAAGTCTCGTACAATCAAAGAAAAAGCATGTACAAGGTAATTTAATTAAATCAAATCTATTATAAATTATAGATCGTTAATATTGATTTTTTATTTTTTATAATTAGATGTGGAAATTTTTCAGCAACAACAAGTTTGAATAATATGATCTGGACAAAAGGTTATTCAAGATCATGTATTTGTGGTGGCTATTGGATAGAAATTAAAGACAAACAATCTTAGAAAAAATTTGTTTTACAAGAATCTTTATAATTAATTAATTATTACTACTTTATATATAATATGTAATCACTTAAAATGAAATTACTCCGTCAGACACAGCTTTGTTAAATAAATGATATAGGAGATATTCATTATGAAAATCTTCTTCTATATATTAATTTAAAAAAATTATAAACGTTGTATATTTTTCATTAATTTCTATGTCTACTACCTATAAACGCAATGTATTACTATAACTATCGAGAAAGCCATAACCCTTTAATTAGCGAATGAAAACGGCCCGACATTTCCTTGGTTGAAAAAAATATCGAAATAATTTCCAAACTTGGTTAGTATACTCCGCTCTTTATCAGTCGTTCATTAAAATCTCGGACGTTGTTTGGAATAAAAAACCTATCATTGACAGCGAGCGACGTTCTTGCTTATAGGTATGATTTTCGTCTTCTGCTACCTTTTCCACCTGCCTTTTTGCGATATTCAGTTTTTATCATAGACAGAAGTTGAATGAACTGTTACACGGTCGTAAAAAAAATAAATAATAATAAAAATAATTGGTTTCATCGTATTGTATTCATTATTTTTTTGGAAAAGAAAAAACGATCAATTCTCATTTTTATATTTATTAGTACGTGAATTTGTGTATGTGTGCACTCTTATCTTATTATTATCTTCTCTCTAGTTACGAAGATAAAGTAGAATGATAAAATACCAATTTGTTATTTATTATTGTTATTAAAAAGAATTTTTTTTTTATCTGAAAAATTACCAAATTGAGTTAATTTTACATTATAAATTAAATTAAGAAAGAAAGAATGCATTATTTATTATCATAATTCATTGTTGGTTGCCGTTAATTAACTATTAATTAAAAAGTTTTATTACGTCTTTTAAAAATGAACAACAAATGCCAATTGTTTACTGTTACCTAATTTTCATATAATAGTAATAACAAACTATTTTCTAAACATTTAAAAAGCTGTTTCCAACTCAAGAACTTGCATTTGATATGTTTTATGCATATATTTTTATTAATCGTTGCAAGCAAATCTACTTCGTCAACAAAAACACCCAGTGACAAAGATGATATAACATATAATTTGAGCATTTGGGAACCCCAATCAACGCCAACGCCAACGCCAACACCAACACCAACACCAACACCAACACCAACAAAACCAAAACCAAAACCAAAAGAAAAAAGCCCTAAACCTACAATAACGCCTCCAGCTGATGATATAATTACTACAACAAAGCCGCAGAAGGATTCAACATCAACGCCAACACCAACATCAACATCAACATCAACAACATCAACATCGCCATCACCAACAACACCACCTTCAGCAAATATCGACAATAATCCAGCCACTTCATCTGATATGATCGATAGCGATAACAATAAAAGAAATGGCTCAAATATTGGTCTAATAATAGGAATAACTATTGCAATAATTATAATTGGCATTTGTGCATTTGCTGGATTTTTGTGGCGTCGTAGAAGATTAAGACGTTTCTCAAGAGTTACAGTAAGCTTTTCGAAAATAAATTAAATAATAAATTATTATTATTATTATTATTATTTATATTAAAAAACAACATTTATTTTCTTCTTGTAGCCTATGGAAAGTTGGAAAATACTTAATGATCCGTCCACAGATTTTAGAAGATCATCAAGGATGCCAATGACGACAAATTATTCGCCTTCACAGCCATCAAAAACTTTTCGATCAAATCAAGAATTTCCAAGAGCGAAAAGATTAGTATATGATAGAGAAACTACATTACCGAAAATTCGACGATCTAATGATACATGGGAACAATATTTAAGTATGGTTATTCAGAGGCCGGAGCAACTTGCTAATAATGATAATTATAATAGTAATTATAACAGTGGTCATAGTAGTGATTATAACACTGGTTATAGTATTAATAATGGTTATATATATAAGTAAAGGGCAAAGTGAAAATAATCTCATTATCATTTATTCATTCATATTCATTCTGTACAATCTAATTAATATATATTAATGATTTCATTTTTACAACGAATATAATAATTTTTCAGTGTTTTATGCAACCTTTTTTGTAAAATGAACTAATTGGATGGCTTCATCTTACATTGTTAAGAACGCGTACAATTTAGGTACATACACCATTTAGAACAGCATGGTGACTGTGATTTTTTTGTCTATGCCAATTACAGTCTTTTCTTCCCTTCATAACTAGATCAACACTATCGCGAATATATTTTGATGATATGTCTTTTACAAAATAAAGGTTCATGATTTCATATAAGATGATTTTGCCCGTGTAATTAATTGATCTCCAAATATACGCGACTTTGACATTTATGAAAAGATGGTATTAACATTATCTGTATTTTATTCATTATGGTTTTTTTATTTGCTAATTCAATGACTCTTCAAGTGCACTTGTCTTTGAATCCAATCTCAACTTTTGATTACCTCCTATTTTTCATTCCCATTAAAGCTTTACCTTTAGGTAATTTTCTTTTATCCTATTAGAAATTCTGCACCATTTCGGTTCTCCAACCGTGTATAAGTGCTGCCAGATTGCTTGAACAAATTGCCGAATCTTTTGCTCTGAAATTTCTGCCGGAAAGCGATTTACAGCTTCATTATAGTTTTACACATTATTATTATAATATTTGTTATCTTCATCTTTTAAGTGTATTATTTGTTTGGAAGAGACTATTTTACAGCATTTGGAGGTGGTGGATTGCCAACAAAGTGAATTTAACGGAGCTAAATCTAATATCACAAGTTGAACATGCTTCAAGATGAAATATATCATGTCAACTAATAAATCTTAAACCCTATAATCGTAAATAATTATTATTTAGACATAGAAATTAAGAATATTTCTTTTCCTCCTAGATAAAATCATGTTGCACAGTGCTTTCCGACAAATTCAACAAATTTTATTAACATTAAACATTCAAAAAAACATTGTATTATGAATTACAAATCCCTCAATTTGTCTATTATTATTATCGTTTTTGCCTAATTGCCAAATATACTTATCTAAACCCTTCAAACTAATTTCCTGTCTACCTAATGATCTAGCATGTCTTAAAATGATCTCACATGAATCAATAGCTGCTGCACGTAAACAATATATTTCTTGTATGTTAGGATTCTCTTTATTATTTTCTTCAAAAAATTTTTTGAAATGAGATGGTAAATTCATTATATTAGCATGATAAAGTATTGCTGGAACCACATTATTGCCATCAATTGTAAGTTCATTGATATCTTCAAAATCAAAAACAGATGTTTTGTTATTATTTTGAAATCGATGGTAGAGACTTGAAGCAAGGAATTGTGCTTTTTTGAAAACATATACAGCTAAAAAAATTTTTATACAATGAATATTAAAATTTAATTGAATTTTGAAATAATAAATAAAATGAAATCTTACGTTGATCATTGATCATTGCCATGTCTCTAAACGTAGGAAAAGCTTTGACCAGCTAAAACATAATTACACTTTTTTTTTAAAAAAAAAAAGAAATATAGTATAAACACATAAAAAAGAATCATATCTGTTTACCTTTTCTACCATTTTAGCAGCTTTGGGTTTTTCTCCACCTCTTTCTGGTTTAGATGCATCGATTAAAAACATAGCAAAATCTTTATATCCACTGTCTTCTAGTATTTTCCCTGTATCATTCAGAACCCAAGTAATGATTTCTGCAAAAACTCGAGATTTTGATGGTTGTGATATTGTAATAGCTTGAATTGTTTTATGTGGCACATCAATTTGTAAAGGTATTTGGAACAATGAAGATACTTCTGAAAGTTTTATGGATCGTAATGCATGCGAACTCAAAGATTGTGATGTTATATGAAGGGACATGATTCCATATCTTATAGTGTCAAAAGCACCCTTAAATATCACAGACGTATATGTATTATTACACATCAGAGATGTCATTAATAATAATAATAATAATAATTACTATTATTATCATAATCAATATCATACATACACGTCCACATTCTTCGTGTAATTCTTGACGATATCCACTTCCAAAATTTAATAATCCAAACAAACCAATTATATTCAATTCTTGTTCTAGAGTATCAAATCTTAAAGGCATCTACAATGTTGAAATTAAAAAGGGCCTATCTTAATTGTTTAATAGAAGTTATATATAAATAAATAAAATATTTATGTATTTTTACATTTAATAAACCATTGTTTTCGGATAATTTATTATAGTGGTTTGAATCTATCTTCTGAATAAAGTTTATAACCGCTTCTTCATTTACCTATATGTGTATGTATGTATATATATGTGTGTGTTTGAATATTCCTTTTTTTAAAAAATTGTAAATAAATAATTAAATGTGTGTATATATACTTTTATGTCATTTTTTTTTGTAAGATCATGACATGAGGTTCGTACGGCTTGAATATAATTGCCTTGTGGGAAGGGAACCTTATTGTCTATAAATAATAATTGATTAATATTTGACATTTTTTTTCGTAAATAAAGAATAGCCAACACGGAATTATTAAAAAGGAAAAGGATCGTCGGTAAACTCTAATTTTGTCATAATAAAATAATTTGATTATAATTTGGTTAAATAATGCAACAACAGCAACAACAACAGCAGGAGCGCTCACCAACAGAATTTTTAAATAATGTTATTGGAAGACCAGTTATTGTTAAATTGAATTCAGGTGTTGACTATAAAGGTAATTATTTTATAAATTATAAATTATTAACTTTATTTAATCAATAATTATCTTATGAATAGGTATACTTTCATGTCTTGATGGTTATATGAATATTGCACTTGAACAAACTGAAGAATGGGTAAATGGTCAATTCAAAAATAAATATGGAGACGCTTTTATTCGTGGTAATAATGGTAAATATTGTGTGAAAATATAATTAATTTAATTAGATTTTTAGAAATTAAACAAACTATTATTAATTTCATCTTTATTGTTTATATTAATAAATCTTTATAGTATTATATATTAGCGCAGATAAAAACAGATGATAATTACTTATTAAATTTTATTATAATGTTGTAAAAATCTAATGAAACCATAAAATGATAAATAAAAATATTTAATAGATGGTGAAATATATCACTGGTGAAATAAAATCAGTAAAAAAATCGGGTACCTGATCCCATCAAAAGAATAATCAATCATATTTCTGATTTTATAGCGAGGAAATTTATTTTGTTAAATAGTTTTCTTTATAAGTAATGATAAATATTTTACACAATCTGATTATCGATACAATTGCTGATTCCTTCCCTCATCTTTCATTAGTTGGTTTTGTTCGTTAAATCAAAAGTTTCAACTGAAATTTGAATTATCATCAATCACTGGACAAACCCAATTCCATAGGACGAGGAAAAAACTCCCAAAAAAATTAAATGGATGGATGGACATATGAACAGAAGAAGAATTAATAATTGATTTATTGTTATATTAAATAATTGTTACGGCGTCTGTTATATTATGTGAATATTCAACTATAATCTCTATAATAATAATAAACAGTAAGAACATTTTATTCTCTCTAAACTATTAAAGGAAATAAAAAATATTCTATCGTTTTTAATTAAAAAATCATTAATATTTGATTTATAAAAAATCATGTTATGTCGGCATATATATAAATAGACTTTGTCCAATAAAATTCTAATTTAAAAAACCCTATTCAATCATTCATTGTTGTTTATTTTAATTTCCTCCTCACACCACTTTTTATCGTTTATTATATATATAAATATAAAAAAAAAAATTTATTTTTCATTCTTTAAAATATATTTTTTTTTTTTATAAAAATATACTAATCAAATTATCAATAAATTTGAAAAAAATGAATTATTTAAGTCACATGCCAATATTCTTCTTAATCACTTTATACCTTTTATTATTTTCACCATTCAATTCTGCAACACAAACTCCTTTGAAAGAGAATACAAATTTAATGGAAAATTCTCTTGATGAATCAATTGAAAATTATTGTGCTGTAAATAATCTATATATTTTCTATTTACTTATTGTTTGCTTATTCTTTAAACTTTTGATATATATGCTTAACTAAATTTTGAATGATAACAATAGCCTTCCGGATTAATTAGCGACGCTTGTTGTGATTATAAAACTGTCGAAAATATAAATAATGATTTATTTCCTAGATTACAAGAATTAATCAAAACAGATTTTTTTAAATATTATAAGGTTTTTTATTTTTAAATCATTCTGGTTTTAAATGATGATTTGATTTAATTTAATTATTTTCTATTTGTAGTTGAATCTTTATAAGGAATGTCCGTTTTGGCACGAAAATGGCCAATGCATAAATCAAGCTTGTGCTGTTGAAACTACCGATGAAGTAAGTTGATTAAAAAATAGATATATCAATTATACATATTTATGAATTAATCAATATTTTATTTGATTTAGTCAAATGTTCCCGAAATGTGGCGCAGCAATGTACTGGGTGCATTGCAGACATCATCTAATGGCTTGGTAAAGTTATCGATAAAAAATATATTAATGTGAATCTTTTACACTATTTTATAATAATTATTAATGTTAATCGTACATGAAAATAAGTAGCTTTTTCAACCCTTTAAAGATTGTGAATTTAAACTACAAGATTTCTGTGTTGTTGAAGACGAAGCAGATTCCGGCAAGTTAATTTAATCAAAGATTTTTTTTTTTTTTTTGAAATATTTTGATTAAAATTAACACATTATATATGTGTGTGATTAGAGGGAGTTTTTGTTAATCTTCTTGAAAATCCTGAACGTTTTACTGGATATGCTGGAGCATCAGCAAGTCGTGTATGGAAATCAATATATGAAGAAAACTGTTTTAACGTAGCCTTTCATTTGGATCCTTCATATAACATTAAAGACTTGTCATCTGCTCCAACAAATAAAAAACCATTAGGTCTTTTATTACAAAGTAAAAATGACATCTATGATGAAATATGTGTTGAGAAAAGAGTCTATTATCGTTTGATTTCTGGTTGGTTAAACTTTCTAGTTTTTTTTCTGTTGTTTTATTTAAAATAAAATAATAGGATCAATTCATATATATTTATATACTGAATATATAATATTCCAGGACTTCATTCTTCGATATCCATTCATATATGTAGTGAATATTTGAATAAAACTACTGGATTATGGGTAACGTCGATATAAGATTTTTTATTTTACTATGTAGATTCAAAAATTAGAACTATTAGTTTTTAATGATTGATTTTACATTAGGGTCCAAATCTTGATTGCTTTGTTGATCGCATTGGTTCATATCCAGAACGTCTTCAAAATGCTTATTTTAATTATGTAGTTCTTCTAAGAGCCATATCAAAAATTTCAAATTATCTTAAAGGATATGAATTTTGTACTGGTGATGAATTGCAAGATGAAAAAGTCAAGTCTATGGTCAATGAAATAGTTGATCGGGCTCAATCTTGTCCCGAAACTTTTGATGAAAATCAATTGTTTGCTTCTCCTGAATCTAGTGTAAGCTTTATATTTATATTTATTTACTTTGATAAGTAAACAAATCTTAATACTTTTGTGTATATTGTTTCCTTATCTATCAGATATTGAAGGAGGAATTCAAATCCAGGTTTAGAAACGTTTCTCGAATAATGGATTGTGTTGGTTGTGATAAATGTCGATTATGGGGAAAAGTACAAATATCTGGAATTGGTACAGCTTTAAAAATACTTTTTTCATATGAAGATGACTTTCTAAAGTAAGTAACATGTAAACATATAAATGTGTATTGATATGACCCATAATTAAATACTTTTATATTATCATGTTAAATATTTTGTTTGTATTTATAGTCCAAAGATAGATCCAAATTTATTAAGGCGTACAGAGATTGTTGCACTATTTAACACATTTAGTAGATTTTCGGAGAGTTTAAAAATCATAGAGAAATTTAGAAAAATGTATCAACAACATAAACTAAATGACATTAATGAAACCAACCAAATCAATCAAATTAGTCAACAAGAAAAAGTAAAGAAAATTGAATTTGAAAAATCAATCAACCAAGAGGTAAATCTCTAAAAACAAGATACTTGCATTAAAAAATTTATATATTATAATTACGATTGCCAATTAATAATTTAAAACTAATGAACATTTTTTATTTTATTTATTAGATTTTAGATGAATCTAATATTAATTCCTCTAAAGTTATTAACGAAATCAACCCATCATCATCATTTCCAAATATGCAATTTGTCATAGAACTTTGGGATTTCCTTAAATCAAAGGTTTCACCATACATAATACAATTTCGTCATCTCATAACACAAAGATTAGAATATTGGTACCTGTAATTATAAAGACTATAACAATATTATATTCCTTATTATTATTTTATTTGAATGAAAAAACAATCTTCATGATTTATCATATTGATTTTGATTTTTATTCAATTTATTAATTTATTTCTGCAGTCTTAATTTAATAATATCGGCAATAATAAGTTTTTTAGTAATTTGTATAAAAAAACAATAAATGTAATATATAGATTTTAATTTAATAATAATTGGTTTATTTTTTTTTTATCCATTTAATGGCGAGTGATAGGAAAAAAGTTAATTACGCCCGACACCATTTATGTAATTTGTGCCTATTAACCAATCACCTTTTAATAAAGTTATATACAGAAAAATTGAATTATTATTATTATTATTGTAAAATAAATTATTGTTTCCATATTTATTTTCTAATTTCTATTTTATGCAACATATGCGCATTTATCTTTGGTTCTTGGTGTTCTTTGAAGATATTATTTTTCTCGGCCTTTTTTTTTATGCGGTAAATTGTTTGAACAACAACCTCATTAACCCAATTGTACGTGTTGATTATATTTGTTTTTTTAGGTTAAAGCTTTCTATCTTCGTCATCATTTCTTGTGATGTTTCAGTTTGTGTTAACCGCTGGCTACGATAAATCTATCCCTATTTAGATATGATAGGAAATTCATGAATGAATTTGGAATATATTACTAACAACTAATTTTGCTTTCTATCTATAGAACATAACCATTGTTGACTACTAATTTTTTTTTGTTTTCTTTTTAACCGCAAACTTTTTTTCTGCCGATTATCTTTCATTTCGTTCTTCGAAATAAAAAGACTTGCCCAACTGACCCGAGTTTCACTATTTTCAACGCCAGTTGGCTTGTTTCATTGTTATTGCCTTTAGTGCTAGTCTAATTTTACTCGAAGAAATTTGCTTTTACTCTGGTGTTTCTGTTGTGGTTGAATCTCTAATACCACCACTATCAGTTTTTTTCGCCTCATGTTGTAAATATGTTTTCATTACGACTTGTAAGACTTTTATGAAGTTGTTTAGGACCAGGACTTGTGGAACTAGTTGAACTATATGAGTTTTGACTCTTATATGTATCCTACTACGATCATTGTTAGCTGGATTTTGACGCTTATTTGGGTCCCTGTTGTGATTACTGTTAGCTGAATTTTGGCTTGGTATTGAAGAGGATGGATGGTACGGAAATTATATATTTGAACATGCCATTCAAAGCACCTACTTTCGATCTGTACTAATGATGTATAACGAAACTTTTGACTTTAGTCATTGACGTAACTAAAGTATTGACTAAAAAGATAGTTTCTCACCAAGATTCGAATCGATGATTAGATTATGCATCAAATTTTTTTTTTTATAAATTAGAAAATTAAAATGAAGAAGAAAACTATCTTTTAATTATTTTATCCAATTCATTAGCTTGAGGTTGTACCTTTTTGTGTAATACCCTCATCATCAATAAATAATCTATTAATATAAGCAATAAAAAAGTTTGAATTCTTACTTTCTTTTTCTTTGATATCGAAAAAACAAATATGGATGTCACAGAAGGTTCGCCTTATAAGCCCATTTTTCCTTTTGAAATTTATTCTGAAACTGGAACGGTCATAAGTTCTAGCTAGCAGTTTAAATCAAAACAAGCCATACAACTGCAATATTGCCACCAAATCCTGCAGCAATTGAAGCCATACATCCTTCATCGCTTATTTCAAGATATGTGAAACTGACCTAGTTGGTACACTTCAGAAATCTTATACATACGATCGAAAAGGTGGAAATACAACAAATCCTATTAACCATTTTACGTGATAAATGAAAATTAATCGGTAATCATGATGGAGTATATATGATTGTCATGTTTTTCTTGATTACTTTCTGCTATGGATACCATTCTTCTTTATCCGTAAAACAGACCGCCATATAAATAACTTGTTTTCTGATGTAAACAAAAATAAAACCGATTATTCGGTTTTGCGGTTTTATTTAAATGCGGTTTTGCGCCTTTGCGATTTTATTTAAATACGATTTTTGAGGGTTCACTTAAATTTGGTTTAAAAACCGGGAGAAATATATTGCATTGATTTGTAATCCTGCGAGTTTGTGGAAGTAACTGTTTAACAATATTTTTTATTCCCATTTAATTAATTAATAAGCATTAGATTCTAATAATAATAATTAATAATAAAGGAAAAGGTATTGAAAGAATTGATGATAAAGTTGATGGATAATTGATTGATTGATTTAATTTATTTCTTAAA